GAGACAGGGTAACACACAGGACTCTCCCGGTCAGAGAGGCTGGAAGATGAGGGCAGGAGAGACAGGGTAACACACAGGACTCTCCCGGTCAGAGAGGCTGGAAGATGAGGGCAGGAGAGGAAGGAGGTGGCAGGTGACCCCATGACCCATCTGTTCTGGCCAGTCCCGGCGTCATGGTCTGTCCCTCCCTCGGGGGCTACCTTACCCGCTGTGGGGGCGTGTGGATCAGGGCACGGTAGAAGCAGGTGGTCTGGGGGTACAGGGCCAGCACAAGCTGCTCCTTCTGAAACAACGCCTCCGGGTCCGTCTCCGGGTTGGCTTTCCACTGGGGCAGCGGGATGATACGCCGTCGGCTCAGGGTGTGTCTCCTGGAAGGGGGCGCTCAGGTCAACCCACGGCCAGGAGTGGGGCTGCTTCCCAGCCGCCTCCACATCCCTCCCTGACCAGCACACTCACTCTTTGCCTTCTTCATCAATGTCATCCACCTCGTATCTGGAGAACAAAGAACAGTGGATGCAGGGAGACACGTGGTCCAAACTGGGGAGCGACGAGGAGGGGAGTGTGGGGCATGGGGAGGGGGAGCAGCCCAGGGAGCCAGAGTCATACACAGCCCCGCCCCCGTCCCCACAGACACTCTGGGGGAGGCTCTGGGCCCAGCCTGCAGATGGGGCAGAGGGCCAGCCAGCGCAGGTGTAACGGGATAGCGGACTGAGGGCTGGGTGTCCACTCACTTGTTGGTGGCATGGCTGTAACTGACCACCTCAGCCAGGATCCACTGCTCATCCCCATCCACAGCCTTTACCCGGGCGGCCACCTTGTCTCCGGGCTTGGCCACGTAGTCCCCAGAGGCTGGAATGGCCCCACAGAGGGGTGGGGGCCTAGGGGTTGGAGTAAGGCGTTAGTCCCAGCCCTTCCCTCCGGTCAGCTCCCCGCCCCCCCCACCGCCGGCTCAGGCCTGCCCTCACTTGTCACCAGGCTTCCCGATCCACAGGGGCAGGGTCATGGCCGACTGCTGCAGCAGGGTCATCAGCACGCCCCGGCGCATGGTCTTCCGAGGGGGCTCCGAGTCGTTGTACAGGCCCGCGATCTTGGCCGCTGTGGGAAGGAAGCGCGCCCCTGAGGCACGAGGGACAGGGCTCCTACCCCAGACCCCCAGTTGCACAGCTGCACGGAGTGGTCAGCGGAGCTTGGCCTGGTGCCCGCCTCCCGAGGGACCGCCCGGGGCCCGGTGCGCTGCTTTCACAGACCTGCGAGAGGTCAGATCAGCGGATCCCCTCAGGGTGATGAACTACAGGGCAGAAAAAGGGTTCTGGGGTGCTGGCATGGCCATTTGTTCAGTTAGCGAACATTTCATAGAGCCGTCTGTATACTTATGTGTACTTTTATACTAGGAGTACGTGTTCATTAGACAAAAAACTAAAAACTGTCAAACGCAGACAGACTCCTGACCTCAAGCATGGCTCAACACCCCCAGTCAACCTCGCACAAACCCGGCTGGCGGTGGGACCTGTCTAAGGGCAAGCCGTGTGCCCATGGAGGGGTCACTGAAAGGGTAAGAGATGGGAGAGCCACGGCGGTTTGAAGGGATTTGGAAGCCAACACCCTGTGTAAGCTCCGTGTTGAAGGAAGCAGCTGGCGCTCCCGCGGCAACAGGGGAGAGGGGGCGGGTAGCAGGAAGGAGGCAACTGCCCCAGGCACAAGGGGCAGAGAAGCATGAGGGGGCGCAGTGAGACCTTCCCGGTCTGCACAGGGACACTGGGAGCCCCTGCCTCTGAGCACGAGCCGCAACCTCCGCTGCCTCCCAGACCCAGGCTGCCCAGATGCGTGCCCCTGTCAGAAGTCTGTGGATCAACACGGGGCTGAGGCAGCAGCTCCCCACTCCTGCGGGAAGCCACGACCCCAGCTCTCAGGAAGCCTCACTCTGCCTGATCAAGAAGCGCCACGCTGCTCTCCAACTCACCAATCCGCCTTTCTTCCAACAGAGACTTGATTTCCGCTATCTTATCTAGAGCTTTCCGGAGGATGCTGGCAGGGGAGAAGGGAGAGAAGAGGATGGAGCACGAGCGCAGACTTCCTCCTGTTTTTCTATTTATTTTTACTTTACTTATTTATGATATTTATTTATTTAGGATATTATATTTATGACTTCATTTTTAAGTAATCTCTACACTCAATGGGGGACTTGAACCTATAACCCCAAGATCAAGAGTTGCATGCTCTACCGACCGTGCCCACCAGGCGCTCCCGTGTTTACATTTTTTTTTTTTTTAGATTTTATTTATTTATTTGACAGAGATCACAAGTAGGCAGAGAGGCAGGCAGAGAGAGAGAGGAGGAAGCAGGTTCTCTGCT